AGTGTCTTGCACGTTCACCATGCGAATCTGCGCTGAGAAGGGCAATGTGGGGCGCTTCGCCACTTCTGTGAAGATGGCAGCATTTCCATGTTCGAGTGTAACACAGAGGTTGGATCGACGTGCGAGGAACAAGGAAACACAAAAGCATGTCTATTCTTGTTCTTGAGGTAGAGATCAGATAGCCTATCAGACTGCAGTTGTTGGTGCGCGAGCAATCGCTTGGGGGAACGCATGGATTGATGTGCCTCTTGGACGACTCTGTGTTTGTGTGTGCCGGTGTTGTCTGGATGTCAGCTTTGGAGCAGGGTAGCCTCGCGAGCAAGATCCAAGATCCTCATCGTTTCTGCAATGGCAAAGGCAAGCAAGATGCTCGCGGTCGTGGCGGGTGTGGCGGCCTACTGCGGCTGGCAGGGCGCTTTCGTGCCGCCCCCCGCTGGCCGGCATGTGCCGATCGCCACTGCGGCCGGCGCCGCGGCCATGCTGGGCATGGCGCCCGCTTACGCGGACAAGATCGATGATGCAGCCAAAGTTCTTTCCGAGAAGTCCTACCCATTCTTGAAGGATTTCCGAGTATGATCACCGGGCATGATCATGGCTTGCAAGACGCTTTCTGGCGCGTTTGGGGTTCGGGCAATGTTGTGACTGAAGATATGCCCATTTCTGGACTATTGGGTAAGACATTGATTGAGCTTTCCAGGTGTTGGTCTGATGTTTGTCGTTTTGTGAAAGCTGCAAGCTGCTTGTTATTTACTACACGATGTGTGGTACTTCGAGCAGTATGTTTTTGTTCTAATAGCACATTTTTGCAGAGGAATTCGGTAGTGATTTCTTTGGCTGTATATGGCTGTTCTTCAGAGACATGAATCAATGCATGAGAACATGGTTGAGCCAGACACGTTCTATCCAGAGATCGACTGGACTGATGGCGTCTATGGCGTTCTGCCCACTGCCAAGCCCTTGGAGGTGCTGAAGGCCATCGACAAGATGTTGGTCATGGGGCCGCAATGGACCCGGAGGCTCTGAAGGCAGGAGTGTTGGCGCACAGCAAGGCCATCAAGAGCATTGACGGCAAAGGGGTGACCACCCTTGCGGACTACACGGCCACCAACGCCGCCATTGGCCACATGATTGCGTCCGTACCGGCTTCCAAGACCATGGACGTGTACAACGCCTTCAACAAGTTCAGCCTGGGCAAGGATGTGGGCCCTTACATGATGTCCAAGGTGAGCGCTGAGGACGCCAAGGCGGCCTACAAGGCATTTTTGGAGTTCAAGGATGTGGTGAAGGCTTCTCAGCGCTGAGCTCGGCCTTGCTCTTGGCATCTTTGGCGCCGTGTGTGCGCCCTGCAGTTTGTATAGTTTTCTCTTGGCAACTCTTTACAATCTGAGTCCGACCGGCTTGAGACCCCGCTCTCAGGCATCCGGCTGATTCAGCCAATTCCACAATTTATGAAGGCACTCCGCCAACTTGCATTTGAATAATCCGCTCATGTGAAAAAGGCGCCTCGTTTCCGTATTGCGTAGACTTTGGCGTGTGATTGCAAATCAGCAATGCCACAGTCCACAAAAGCCTTCCCAGAAGGGTAATCAACAGAGTGTCTTGCACGTTCACCATGCGAATCTGCGCTGAGAAGGGCAATGTGGGGCGCTTCGTCACTTCTGTGAAGATGGCAGCATTTCCATGTTCGAGTGTAACACTGAGGTTGGATCGACGTGCGAGGAACAAGGAAACACAAAAGCATGTCTATTCTTGTTCTTGAGGTAGAGATCAGATAGCCTATCAGACTGCAGTTGTTGGTGCGCGAGCAATCGCTTGGGGGAACGCATGGATTGATGTGCCTTTTGGACGATGCTCGCCGTGGCGGGTGTGGCGGCCTACTGCGGCTGGCAGGGCGCTTTCGTGCCGCCCCCCGCTGGCCGGCATGTGCCGATCGCCACTGCGGCCGGCGCCGCGGCCATGCTGGGCATGGCGCCCGCTTACGCGGACAAGATCGATGATGCGGCCAAAGTTCTTTCCGAGAAGTCCTACCCATTCTTGAAGGATTTCCGAGTATGATCACCGGGCATGATCATGGCTTGCAAGACGCTTTCTGGCGCGTTTGGGGTTCGGGCAATGTTCTGTCTGAAGATATGCCCATTTCTGGACTATTGGGTAAGACATTGATTGAGCTTTCCAGGTGTTGGTCTGATGTTTGTCGTTTTGTGAAAGCTGCAAGCTGCTTGTTACTTACTACACGATGTGTGGGTACTTCGAGCAGTATGTTTTTGTTCTAATAGCACATTTTTGCAGAGGAATTCGGTAGTGATTTCTTTGGCTGTATATGGCTGTTCTTCAGAGACATGAATCAACGCATGAGAGCATGGTTGAGCCAGACACGTTCTATCCAGGAGATCGACTGGACTGATGGCGTCTATGGCGTTCTGCCCACTGCCAAGCCCTTGGAGGTGCTGAAGGCCATCGACAAGATGTTGGTCATGGGGGCCGCAATGGACCCGGAGGCTCTGAAGGCAGGAGTGTTGGCGCACAGCAAGGCCATCAAGAGCATTGACGGCAAAGGGGTGACCACCCTTGCGGACTACACGGCCACCAACGCCGCCATTGGCCACATGATTGCGTCCGTACCGGCTTCCAAGACCATGGACGTGTACAACGCCTTCAACAAGTTCAGCCTGGGCAAGGATGTGGGCCCTTACATGATGTCCAAGGTGAGCGCTGAGGACGCCAAGGCGGCCTACAAGGCATTTTTGGAGTTCAAGGATGTGGTGAAGGCTTCTCAGCGCTGAGCTCGGCCTTGCTCTTGGCATCTTTGGCGCCGTGTGTGCGCCCTGCAGTTTGTATAGTTTTCTCTTGGCAACTCTTTACAATCTGAGTCCGACCGGCTTGAGACCCCGCTCTCAGGCATCCGGCTGATTCAGCCAATTCCACAATTTATGAAGGCACTCCGCCAACTTGCATTTGAATAATCTGCTCGTGTGAAAAAGGCGCCTTGTTTCCGTATTGCGTAGACTTTGGCGTGTGATTTTGCAAATCAGCAATGCCAAAGTCCACAAAAGCCTTCCCAGAAGGGTAAGCAACATATTATTCTTGCACGTTCACCATCCGAATCTGCGCTGAGAAGGGCAATGCGGGGCGCTTCGTCACTTCTGCGAAGATGGCAGCATTTCCATGTTCGAGGTAATATTGATGTTGGATGGACCAGGAAACACAAAAGCATGTCCATTCTTGTTCTTGAGGTAGAGATCAGATAGCCTCTCAGACTGCAGTTGTTGGTGCACGAGCAATCGCTTGGGGGAACGCATGGATTGATGTGCCTCTTGGACGACTCTGTGTTTGTGTGTGCCGGTCTTGTGCGGATGTCAGCTTTGGAGCAGGGTAGCCTCGCGAGCAAGATCCAAGATCCTCATCGTTTCTGCAATGGCAAAGGCAAGCAAGATGCTCGCGGTCGTGGCGGGTGTGGCGGCCTACTGCGGCTGGCAGGGCGCTTTCGTGCCGTCCCCCGCTGGCCGGCATGTGCCGATCGCCACTGCGGCCGGCGCCGCGGCCATGCTGGGCACGGCGCCCGCTTACGCGGACAAGATCGATGATGCGGCCAAAGTTCTTTCCGAGAAGTCCTACCCATTCTTGAAGGATTTCCGAGTATGATCACCTGGCATGATCATGGTGCGTTTGGGGTTCGGGCACTGTTCTGACTGAAGATGTTGCACGTAGATGGTAGCCTAATGCTGGACTATAGCGTAAGAAGTTGATTGAGCTTTCCAGGTGTTGGTTTGATGTGTGCCGTTTTGTGAAAGCTGCCAGCTGCTTGTTACTTCGTACACAATGCGTGGCACTTCGAGCATTATTTGTTTGTTCCACCAGGTGTTTCTTGCAGAGGGACTTGGCAGTGATTTCTTTGGCTGGCTGTTTATGGCTGTCCTTCAGAGACATGAATCAATGCATGAGAACATGGTTGAGCCAAACACGTTCTATCCAGGAGATCGACTGGACTGATGGCGTCTATGGCGTTCTGCCCACTGCCAAGCCCTTGGAGGTGCTGAAGGCCATCGACAAGATGTTGGTCATGGGGGCCGCAATGGACCCGGAGGCTCTGAAGGCAGGAGTGTTGGCGCACAGCAAGGCCATCAAGAGCATTGACGGCAAAGGGGTGACCACCCTTGCGGACTACACGGCCACCAACGCCGCCATTGGCCACATGATTGCGTCCGTACCGGCTTCCAAGACCATGGACGTGTACAACGCCTTCAACAAGTTCAGCCTGGGCAAGGATGTGGGCCCTTACATGATGTCCAAGGTGAGCGCTGAGGACGCCAAGGCGGCCTACAAGGCATTTTTGGAGTTCAAGGATGTGGTGAAGGCTTCTCAGCGCTGAGCTCGGCCTTGCTCCTGGCATCTTTGGCGCCGTGTGTGCGCTCTGCAGTTTATATAGTTTCTAGGCAACTCTTTACAATCTGAGTCCGACCGGCTTGAGACCCCGCTCTCAGGCATCCGGCTGATTCAGCCAATTCCACAATTTATGAAGGCACTCCGCCAACTTGCATTTGAATAATCCTCTCGTGTGAAAAGGGAGCGCCTCGTTTCCGCAGCAGCCTGATCGTGTTTTATGACCCGGGATAGTCGAAGCTGGACAGCTCTCAACCGTGGATTTCGCCTACCAATTGGAGAGTGCCATAGGTGGCAAGTACTTTTTGCGCACACCTCCCTTTTCCAAAACACACGCTGGTCGCTTTGTTGTGTGTGTGTGTGTGTCTTTTTTGAGGGAAACCCCTTTTGTTTTTTTTTTTTTTTTAACAAACAACGGCCATCCATTGAGTGGGGTTCCCTTGTTTGACTCACTGTGAGACACACACGCTTGTAAACAGACATTGGAAGCTTTCAGCACTGTTGGGTCCTTTCAAGGTCAGGGGTACAGATTTGACTTTTTGGTACTCTCCAAAAGGCAAAAAAATGGCTCGCCTATGGCCGTGGCTCTTCGTTCCTCTTCGGACGCGACTCGTCGAAAGGCCCCGAAGCCGGCGCTGGCGGCGGGGCTGAGGGTGCGGCTGCGGGGAATGGAGGAGGCCAGTACGGGGTGGTCTGTTTCTATCATTGTTTTTTTTTGTTTGTTTCTTCTTTGAAGCCACAGAAAAAAGGGAGCCAACCCCAAACAAGACGGCCATGTTGCGAGTGAACCAACCAGACATGGGCTTGTTGTGTTGAGGGAATGTTTTTTGGGGTGGCTTTAACCAAGGGGCAAACCACGACTTCGGGGGTTCAGAGGGAAACCATACCCGAAAGTCATATTCATCCCCAAAGTGCAAATCATACCAGGGTACCAAAAAACAAGGAGAGATACGAAGGCTCCGCACCGGATTTCTGATCTTAAGTTTCTGAGTAACACTCCAACTGTATAGTAATTTGTGTAGGATTATCAACAAGCAGACTCGAGAGGAGAAGGACTTCATAGACTGACGAACCTCCAAAAAGGTGGTAGAGGGACCCACAGATCGAGAAGGCGGGACGCCTCCCCGCAATAATCGGACGGGCGAGGTGTTCCAGTTGAGAGAAAATTCTTTACTTTTTGGGAGAGACCCCAATCCAGGGGCTGCCTGCATATTTTACGGGGGACCCCGCCCAACGAGAAAACCGTGACTTCCCCTTCTGCTTTTTTACGTGGTTCCCCGCCCCACCCGAGCGTCAACTTTTTTGGCGGGAATCAAACCATTGTCTTGGGAACCTCCCTTTGTTGCGCACCTTTGCTGGGCAACCCATGAAACAAATTGGACCGGTCCGAGGGGCTCTCATCCCTTCTTGAGAAGGCCCATTGAAGGCTCGGAATTCGGAGCTGATTTCCAGTTTTTTTTTTTGGCCCCAACAAGGTGATTCACGTTTCCCAGTTGCCCAGTGGATTCCGCCCTTTCCTCCCCTTTTGTTTGTTGGAAGGGTTCCCTTTCCGTGAAAAACTTCACCCAGCCGAAAAACATTTTTTTTGTTGGAAGGGTTTCCTGTTAAACTCACCCACCACAAAAGACTCGGAGGCCCCTTTGAACCCGAACGGGAGAAATCCACGCAGCTGCTCGCCGTTTTCTCAGCTGATCGCACGGCAGGCCTGGCTCGACGGCTTGGCGCGCGGCCCCAACTTGTGATCGATCGCATACCCGGATGCTTTTTTTTTGGGGGGGAGGGGCTACATTTTGTTTTTCAAGCAACCATTTCTGGTGGGTTCTACAGGAACATTTCAAAAGGACGTCCATTTTTTTTTCTGAGTTACTCGGACGGTACAAGACCTAACCGCACCACTCAAATCGGGCGCCCAGCCGTCCCGTGAACCTCAAAAACGTGGCGACTGTTTCTTTTTTTCTTTGGGGGGGGGAAGGACGCACCCAAATGTTTGGAGTGGGTGCCTTTTTTCAGCTTAAGGGCGGCCGAAAAGAAGAGCGATGCGAGAGATTTGGGGGGCACATGTCCAAATATTCAGTGGTTTCCCTGTGGTTTCCGTGCCTGAAACTTTTGGGTGTGGGACATGGAAGCCCTGAGTCATACCAAAGTGGTTCATCCACATGCATTTGTCACATGGGAATACCAAGGGGTGGTTTCCATTTGCGTTTCCTTTCAAACCCAGCACTCAGAGGACGCACTCACTCTTTTGCGTGTGTCTGAACTTTGCTGTGGTGGTATGTTTGCAAAGAACGAGCTCCGGGTTTGGGGCATCATGTGTTGCAATTTTTGGGGGTTTGAGTGTCTTCCACTTTCGCTGTGGCTTCTCTTTCTCCTTCTCTTCTTTCTCTTTGCTCTTCTCCTTCTCTTTGCCTTACAAAAAAGTTCCCCTTCCACAACTGTAAGCCAAAACCAGGTTGGATCGGCCAATGCAAAGTGAGTTCAAGCGGGACACCTCCTTCTTTGTCACTAGCCACTGTGCACGGTCGTCTGCTTGTGGCTTGACACCCGCAAGTGGGAAATAACAGGCCCACTCATTTTGAAGTTTGGCTAGTCCACGGTCAATTTGGGAGTGGGGGCTCTCCAAATCTCCCACACAAACTCGGGGGAATCACTACTTTTCCAGACACGGGTTGCATATTTTGACTGCTCATATGCGAGTACTCCACACAAGGGGTGGTCTTTTTCAGGCTCCAGATGTGGGTCCCATGCGCTAGTTTTGCAAAGGCACAAAGGGTGGTGTCGTCGGGGGGGAGGTCCAATGAATTTTGGTCTATTGAGATACTCTTCACTTTTTACCGGTGTGCCTAAAAGGGATCGATCCAAAGGTGGAGGTTCACTCGCCAGATGGATGAATATGTGTGCTCAAAGGTTTAAACCAGGTTTCAGTCTTTGGTTTCATGTTGGCGAGTTTTGACCCACAGCCATATGACGGTTCCGTTTTGTTTCTTCTGCTTTTCTTCTTCCGGGGCGCTGTGTTTTCCCGAAAGCATCGCGAAGGGTTCTTCCGTGCGGAGCCCTTGGACAAGTTACATAGAGCCAAGTTACATAGAGCCAAGTTACATAGAGCCAAGTTACATAGAGCCAAGTTACATAGAGCCAAGTTACATAGAGCCAAGTTACATAGAGCCAAGTTACATAGAGCCAAGTTACATAGAGCCAAGTTACATAGAGCCAAGTTACATAGAGCCAAGTTACATAGAGCCAAGTTACATAGAGCCAAGTTACATAGAGCCAAGTTACATAGAGCCAAGTTACATAGAGCCCAAGTTACATAGAGCCAAGTTACATAGAGCCAAGTTACATAGAGCCAAGTTACATAGAGCCAAGTTACATAGAGCCAAGTTACATAGAGCCAAGTTACATAGAGCCAAGTTACATAGAGCCAAGTTACATAGAGCCAAGTTACATAGAGCCAAGTTACATAGAGCCAAGTTACATAGAGCCAAGTTACATAGAGCCAAGTTACATAGAGCCAAGTTACATAGAGCCAAGTTACATAGAGCCAAGTTACATAGAGCCAAGTTACATAGAGCCAAGTTACATAGAGCCAAGTTACATAGAGCCAAGTTACATAGAGCCAAGTTACATAGAGCCAAGGTTAGGTAGAGCTTAGAGCTTCGGCGTTAGCAGCTATGTAAGTTAGTTTAGGTTTCTAAGGCGCCGGGGCGGGAGTTTGATCGTCGCTCGGGATTGCGACCCTCTGCGGAGATTCGCGTGGTCGAGGTTCAAAAACTGAGGACTTTTTACGATTTCTGCGGTGCGCGCGCGACCCTCTGCGGAGATTCGCGTGGTCGAGGTTCAAAAACTGAGGACTTTTTACGATTTCTGCGGTGCGCGCGCGACCCTCTGCGGAGATTCGCGTGGTCGAGGCTCAAAAACTGAGGACTTTTTACGATTTCGCTGGCGCGCGCGACCCTCTGCGGAGATTCGCGTGGTCGAGGTTCAAAAACTGAGGACTTTTTACGATTTCTGCGGTGCGCGCGCGACCCTCTGCGGAGATTCGCGTGGTCGAGGTTCAAAAACTGAGGACTTTTTACGATTTCTAGCTGGCCGCGCGCGACCCTCTGCGGAGATTCGCGTGGTCGAGGTTCAAAAACTGAGACTTTTTACGATTTCTGCTGGCCGCGCGCGACCCTCTGCGGAGATCGTGCGCGTCGAAGCGCTCTCGCTGTGGCGCCGTGCGAATTTGTCTTAGTCTCGGCGAACCCTCTGCGGAGATTGTGCGTGTCGAAGCGCTCTCGCTGTGGCGCCGTGCAATATTCTTGCTCGCGAAACGGCCTTTGGAAGTTGTCTCGTGGTTTGCGCGCCTGCTTTCGCAATCCCGCGGTCGCGGGTTCGATTCCCCCCTGGTCCGCGGCAGCTCCGGCTTGAAAATCGCAGCTTTTAAGTACAAACGTAGTACGCGGAGCGTGCTCCTGCAGCTCCGGCTGGAAAATCGTAACTTTTAAGTACAGACGTAGTGTGCGGAGCGTGCTCCCGCAGCTCAGGCTGGAAAATCGCAACTTTTAAGTACAAAAGTAGTACGCGGAGCACACCCCCGCAGCTCCGGCTTGAAAATCGCAACTTTTAAGTACAAACGTAGTACGCGGAGCGTGCTCCTGCAGCTCCGGCAGCACTTGCGCAGAGCAACTTGCGCAGAGTCACTTGCGCAGAGCAACTTGCGCAGAGCAACTTGCACAGAGCAATTGCACAAAGCACTTGCGCAGAGCAACTTGCACAGACTAACTTGCACAGAGCACATGCGCAAAGCGCTTGCACGGAGCAACTGGCGCAGAGCCCTTGCGCAGAGCAACTTGCTCAGAGCACTTGCGCAGAGCAACTTGCACAGAGCAGGCGCAGAGCAACTTGCACAGACCAACTTGCGCAGAGCACATGCGCAAAGCGCTTGCGCGGAGCAACTGGCGCAGAGCACTTGCGCAGAGCAACTTGCTCAGAGCACTTGCGCAGAGCAACTTGCACAGAGCACTTGCGCGCAGCAGCTTGCAGAGAGCAACTTGCGCGCAGCAGCCTGGAACAATGCAGCTTGCGCAGACCACTTTCGTGAGAAATCGCGCGGCGCAGTTCGAGAGGAAAGTAGGATGATGAGATGGAGCTCTCATGTGACCATACACACTGAGCATTGCCGCGCGCAGACACGCTCGCCGCAGCGATGTAAAAAGGTGGCTCCGCGGCTGGATGAGCACCTGTGGAAAAATGCTTTCGGGCCAATCGTCCTCTAGTGTTTTTTTTCCATGGGGTCTGGGTTGGTTGGAAACAAAAAACCCAGCTGGACGAACTCCTGCACCACCCAAGAAACCCTGGAATGATGATTCCCTTGTAAATACCAACAAACGTTATGGGTTCAACCATGGTCTCATTCCGTGGCGCGAAGGGATTTTGCAACCATCCGTATGTTTGCTGTGAGGTAGAATGTTAGAAGCCCAATCATCAGTACTTTCTGGACGAATTGCCAATCACAAACCTCAAATGGAAGTCGCTCAAAATAGCGCAATCCCAAAATGGGTTGCCCTGGTAATTGGAAACGTGGGCTGACATCTGCGGCCTGGTGGTTTGGGCAAAAACAAAACCATCCACAGTAGGACAAAAGTTGGTTGGTTGGTCGTGGTTGGTTGGTTGGTTGGTTGGCTGGTTGGAAAAAAAACCAGCCACGGGACAAAAGCAACACAACCCCTCCCCCGGGCTTTGGGCATGACTCCGAGGCTGGGAAGCTGCAGGGCCTGGAGGGCCGCTGGCAGGTGGACCTGGGTCAGGAGAACGGGTGGAACGGGGGGCAGGTGCTTTCGGAGACGGGTCCGTTTTTTTTTTTTAATGGTTTAAATAATGGGTCGGGCTCGAAACTGAGCCAGATGGGTCTGCCTCGAAATATGTGGGTCTATCTTTCAGGAATCGGACCCAGCGAAGAAGTGGGCCCTCCTTTTGGTTTCCCTGTGAAATCCACCAAACAATGAGCATCCTCAAGAGTACCAGAGCCAGATTTTAGGGCAAGCTTGATACGAGACAGAACCTGAACGTAGTATTTTCTGTGCACCCCAGTGGGCCAAGGTATAGTATAGGTATGTGTCAAAGTGTCCGGATCCAACAAAGAAGGTGGGCATAGCATGGCAGACGTAGCATTGCACGGCAACTCGTTTGCAGACCGTCTTTTCGGTTGGTTTGCATATTTCTTTGTGATGCTGGCAGGTTTTCTGCTGGTTCAGGGAAGGACGTGAAATTGAACAGGTCCCGGGTTCCCCTCTCAAGACTGCCAGGCCTACTGCGAAATCCACTTGAAGCACCTTTGGTTTGCGTAACCTCTTAGACCAAGCTGAACCATCCCTTGTTTCATAGTTCATTCCCAAACCCACAACTCTACCGACTGAAAACCAGCAACTTCGTCGACTGCTTTCTTCCTGGCAAGGGCGGAATCATCTCAATGTGTTGCCTCTCTTTTTGGGCAACCAGTTCACTGGTTGTGTGTTGCTCGAACCTGGCAGAGTTTGCATGTAGAGCTGCAAAGCGTGGGGAGTGTCCTGGTTACGGAACGCAAGAATAAAGGGCGTGCCATCAAACAGAGTGGTCTGGCTTTTAAACCAAAACAAATCATCAAAGAAAGAAAAGGTTGAAGGGCTCAAGCAGCCTAAAATCCAGCCCACCAATACCTACACAGCGTCAGTACCTAATCCAGGGACTACCACGTTTGGGTGAAAAAAACAGAGAGCTCACCCCTAGGGCGAAAACTCAGGGAGTCTCTGCTGACAACAAATGAAAGGCTCGCCATGGCCCTTTTGTATCAAGGTTCCGATGGGCGACATCATGTTTGCAACATGTAGACCCCCAAACCGTGTTTCTCCCTTGAAGCTCCGGGGTTCTCCCGGGTGGGTGTCACTTGTCAAAATTCCAGCCACAAACGGATGGTGTGGGAGCAGGAAGAGTTGGGGATCCGGTGAATCACTTTAGCGCATGGCATCTCATGAATTTCGGGGGGGTTCTTGGGAGAGCTTGCTTGGAAGTTCACAAATCCAACTTCCGTTGGAGGATCCAGCTATGTTGTTGTTGTTGGATCCTAGGCAATGGTCTAAAAGCCATAGAGGAGGTGGGGGTGCACGACGTGGTGCCGGAGAACCTCGCCCAAGCCTCACTTGAAGAAGTTTTGGTCATGTGGTGTCCCTTAGTTGGTGGTTCGGGTTGGTGGTTTGGGGAGTTGAGCCCCTGGTTTTTGCGGAGGGTAAATGGGAAACTACCCCCCCCCACCACCAGGTTCTTGCTTTTCAGGTTCCCGTGGTTGGTTTAGACTGGTGGTTTTGGGAGGGCAAATGGGAAACTACTCCTAAGCACAAAACAACCACCAATTAGAGGCAAGCTGAGAGAATGCTCAACAGAGCATGATTTTTCTGAGCCCATGCAGCCTCTACATTTACCTCACAGGATTGCAGTCACCACGTGAGGATTGTTTCAAAGGGAAGCCAACAGGAAAGCAACCCATTGTGGAGGGTTGCTAGATGTGCCATGGGCAAAAAAGGCCCATTTGCCTGGGGTTTGGTTTGACTGATCATCAACCCCCCAGACAAGTTGTATTGCAGGGACCCTCTCAGGTGCTGGAGGAAGAGGAGCCTGCGGATCCCTGGGGCACTTTACTTGGAGGCCGGGAATCGATCCGCGCAGAGTGCCCGGGATTCGCTCGGGGAGTCTTTTGGGTTGCTTGTTCTCGGCCGGCGGTTTCCGCTGTTTTCAGGGTTCCCTCATGAAAAAAACATGGGGCATCCTTCCACCACCAATCCCAAAAAGAAATCCAAGCCGGCAATTGCAGGGAAGCCGACGTTCGGCCGGCTTTGTCTCCGGCGCTCAAAGGTGGTTGTGGCGGGTGGACTAAAAGAAGCACTGGTCACCAGCCTCGCGGAGACGGATGGAAACTTTCGCATCCACGGGCGGATGCGAATGGATATGGAACAAATGCCACACCAAATCCAAGCTGACAGATGGGTTTTGGAAGACTACGGTTCTGAAGCGGAGTTTCTCCACTTATGTGTTTTTTTTTTGTTTTTTTTTTTGCAAGGGGCTGTGTTTAGGAGCGGCCTAGGAAAATTCGAGTCAGGTGGTTGGTGGCCCACTGTAAACCATGCAACTAGGGTTGCTAGCCACTAAGCCAACTCTCAAGCCATCTAAGTCTCCGCAAACCACCTGCAGGGAAACATATGATAACGTGTGTGTATTGCGTGTATGATATTCCCATTATGTAGTGGCTGCCAAAACACGTTTTACTTGCAGAAGCCATCTAGACCTCGTTTGTTTCCGGGGCCAAAAGCTGAGGTAGGGCAGGATCGATTCCCAGATTTGTGTTGACCCGCATGAAATCCCGTGCTCATTTATGAGAGGGAGTCCTCATTCGCTTACGAAGTTTCTCACTTTTTGCCCAGAGTCTTTTGGAAGCACTTCGTTTTTTTTTTTTTTTTCCAAACCTAACTCCGAGATGGATTTCTGGACAATGAAACGCTGGGCTTCAATTGAGTACATGCATCGCAGTGAACTGCATTGGGGGACCAAAATGGGTACGGGTCAAACCGTGGCTCAAGATGAAGCCACCAGGACTTGGACCGCAGGTCCCATCTTGAGCCCAGGCCCAACTTGGCAGCCCGTTCCATTTCGGGTTCCACGAAGAACATTTGCTAGGCCTCCATTTTGGGTACTGTGGATGGACAAAATGCACCACCGTTCAGAAACCCTAAAATGAGGATTTTTCCTGGACTGACTGACAAACAATGGTTTACCATGGTTTCAAAGTGGTGCGAAGGGATTTCGCCACCACAGTACCCATTCAGCTGCCTCCGGCGCGAGGCGCCAAAGTGTCGGAGGAGATGGCGGAGATCGACGCCATCGCCGCGCAGATCGAGGCGAGCCGAGCCGGAGCCTTTCTTCGGGGGCTCGACACGTGGCGGAGCCATCCGGTTGCGTTTGGCTGGTTGATGTTTGCTGGGGCTTGCCATTTAACCAAAAGTTAAAGCTTGAGTGGAGGATCTGAGGGACAGATGATTTCATGTGGGTGTCTCAGTTTGTTGACTGAGTCCTTACCGCGCCTATTGGACATGATACCGGGCGCGAAAGGGGCATACTTTCGCAAATACCAAGAAGTCAAACAGTTTTGGACTTCTCGACATCTAGACTGGCTGACTTTTCGACTTTTGTCTTTTGCCAACTTGAAGACTTTTCAGGACTTTTTGGGTCGACTTTTTTTCGCGACTTTTCGACTTTTGGGGCCTTTTTCGTTTGTTCGTGACTTGTCGGCTTATTGACTTTTCGACTTTTCGACTTTCAGCGATTTTAGGACTTTTCAACTTTTCGACTTTTCAGCTTTTGGACTGCTCTTGCTTCTTCTCAACTTTTTGGCTTGTCTAGCGGTTTTCGTAATTCTTCTAATCTATATTGTTGTATGTTCCGTTGTTTTCCGTGCTTCTCCGTTTTTTGCTTTCCACTTTTCGAGCGTTTCGGCTTTCCGACTTCACAACTCTGCGCTTCGCCTTCCATGTGTTCCTTTTTTTTCTTCAACAAAGCCCCTAAGGCCGGAAGTGGTGGGCTTGGCGGTGGCGGCATCTTCCTTCAAGCCAGAACACACAGGGGTAAGCAGGGCCAGCAATTGACACACTCCTGATTGGCTGCCGAAGTTGTCAGCAATTATGGAGGTGAACTGCTATGTGCTTTTGTTGAACCGAAATGAGATCAAGTCCTTGCTGTTGAACCACCATGCTTTTTTCGTGTTCTTTATTGTCAGCGATGGCATGGAGGTGGTTCTTTGTATGGTTCGCGTGGGTGGCATAGTGTTCCCTATTCGAAAATGCTAGCAGTAGCAGTAGCAGTAGCAGTAGCAGTAGCAGTAGCAGTAGCAGTAGCAGTAGCAGTAGCAGCCGCAGCAGAAGCAGCAGCAGCAGCAGCAGCAGCAGAAACAGTAGCAGTAGCAGTAGCAGCAGCAGCAGCTGTAGCAGTTGTAGCAGTTGTAGCAGTTGTAGCACTTGTAGCAGTAGCAGTAGCAGTAGCAGTAGCAGTGGCAGTAGCAGTAGCAGTAGCAGTAGTAGTAGCAGCACAGTAGCAGTAGCAGTTTTAGCAGTTTTAGCAGTTGCTGTTTTAGCAGTAGTAGCAGTTGTAGCAGTTGTAGCACTTGTAGCAATAGCAGTGGCAGTAGCAGTAGCAGTAGCTGTGGTAGTAGCAGCACAATAGCAGTAGCAGTTTTAGCAGTTTTAGCAGTTGTAGCAGTTTTAGCAGTTTTAGCAGTTGTAGCAGTTGTAGCAGTTGTAGCAGTTGTAGCAGTTGTCGCAGTTGTAGCAGTTGTAGCAGTCGTAGCAGTTGTAGCAGTTGTAGCACTTGTAGCAGTGGCAGTAGCAGTAGTAGTAGCTGTGGTAGTAGCAGCACAATAGCAGTAGCAGTTTTAGCAGTTTTAGCAGTTTTAGCAGTTGTAGCAGTTGTAGCAGATGTAGCAGTTGTAGCAGTTGTAGCAGTTGTAGCAGTTGTAGCAGTTGTAGCACTTGTAGCAGTAGCAGTGGCAGTAGCAGTAGCAGTAGCAGTAGCTGTGGTAGTAGCAGCACAATAGCAGTAGCAGTTTGAGCAGTCTTAGCAGATGTAGCAGGCGTAGCAGTTGTAGCAGTTGTAGCAGTTGTAGCACTTGTAGCACTTGTAGCAGTAGCAGTGGAGTAGCAGCAGTACTAGCTGTGGTAGTAGCAGCACAATAGCAGTAGCAGTTTTAGCAGTTTTAGCAGTTGTAGCAGTTGTAGCAGTTGTAGCAGTTGTAGCAGTTGTAGCAGTCGTAGCAGTTGTAGCAGTTGTAGCAGTTGTAGCAGTTGTAGCAGTTGTAGCAGTCGTAGCAGTTGTAGCACTTGTAGCAGTAGCAGTGGCAGTAGCAGTAGTAGTAGCTGTGGTAGTAGCAGCACAATAGCAGTAGCAGTTTTAGCAGTTTTAGCAGTTTTAGCAGTTGTAGCAGTTGTAGCAGTTGTAGCAATTGTAGCAGTTGTAGCAGTTGTAGCAGTTGTAGCAGTTGTAGTAGCAGTAGCAGCAGCAGTAGCTGTGGTAGTAGCAGCACAATAGCAGTAGCAGTTTTAGCAGTTTTAGCAGTTGTAGCAGTTGTAGCAGTTGTAGCAGTCGTAGCAGTTGTAGCAGTTGTAGCAGTTGTAGCACTTGTAGCAGTAGCAGTGGCAGTGGCAGTAGCAGTAGCAGTAGCAGTAGCTGTGGTAGTAGCAGCACAATAGCAGTAGCAGTTTTTGGCAGTTTTAGCAGTTTTAGCAGTTGTAGCAGTTGTAGCAGTTGTAGCAATTGTAGCAGTTGTAGCAGTTGTAGCAGTTGTCGCAGTTGTAGCAGTTGTAGCAGTCGTAGCAGTTGTAGCAGTTGTAGCACTTGTAGCAGTAGCAGTGGCAGTAGCAGTAGCTGTGGTAGTAGCAGCACAATAGCAGTAGCGGCAGTAGCAGTTTGAGCAGTTGTAGCAGTTGTAGCAGTTGTAGCAATTGTAGCAGTTGTAGCAGTTGTAGCAGTTGTAGCAGTTGTAGCAGTTGTAGCAGTTGTAGCAGTTGTAGCAGTTGCAGCACTTGTAGCACTTGTAGCACTTGTAGCAGTAGCAGTGGCAGTAGCAGTAGCAGTAGCTGTGGTAGTAGCAGCACAATAGCAGTAGCAGTTTTAGCAGTTTTAGCAGTTGTAGCAGTTGTAGCAGTTTTAGCAGTTGTAGCAATTGTAGCAGTTGTAGCAGTTGTAGCAGTTGTAGCAGTTGTAGCAGTTGTAGCAGGTGTAGCGCTTGTAGCACTTGTAGCAGTAGCAGTGGCACAATAGCAGTAGCAGTTTTAGCAGTTTTAGCAGTTGTTGTAGCAGTTGTAGCAGTTGTAGCAGTTGTAGCAGTTGTAGCCGTTGTAGCCGTTGTAGCAGTTGTAGCACTTGTAGCACTTGTAGCACTTGTAGCACTTGTAGCAGTAGCAGTGGCAGTAGCAGTAGCAGTAGCAGTAGCAGTAGCTGTGGTAGTAGCAGCGCAATAGCAGTATAGCAGTTGTAGCAGTTTTAGCAGTTGTAGCAGTTGTAGCATTTGTAGCAGTTGTAGCAGTTGTAGCACTTGTCGCAGCAGCAGTGGCAGTAACAGTAGCAGTAGCTGTGGTAGTAGAAGTAGCAGTAGCTGTGGTAGTAGCAGCAGAATAGCAGTAGCAGTCGTAGCAGTCGTAGCAGTTGTAGTAGTTGTAGCAGTTGCAGTTGTAGCAGGTGTAGCAGTTGTAGCAGTTGTAGCAGTTGTAGCAGTTGTAGCAGTTGTAGCAGTTGTAGCAGTTGTAGCAGTTGTAGCAGTAGCAGTGGCAGTAGCAGTAGCAGTAGCAGTAGCAGTAGCTGTGGTAGTAGCAGCACAATAGCAGTAGCAGTTTTTAGCAGTTTTAGCAGTTTTAGCAGTTGTAGCAGTTGTAGCAGTTGTAGCAACTGTAGCAACTGTAGCAGTTGTAGCAGTTGTAGCAGTTGTAGGAGTTGTAGCAGTCGTAGCAGTTGTAGCACTTGTAGCAGTAGCAGTGGCAGTAGCAGCAGCAGTAGCAGTAGCTGTGGTAGTAGCAGCGCAATAGCAGTAGCAGTTTTTGCAGTTTTAGCAGTTTTAGCAGTTGTAGCAGTTGTAGCAGTTGTAGCAATTGTAGCAGTTGTAGCAGTTGTAGCAGTTGTAGCACTTGTAGCAGTTGTAGCACTTGTAGCACTTGTAGCAGTGGCAGTAGCAGTAGCAGTAGCAGTAGCTGTGGTAGTAGCAGCACAATAGCAGTAGTAGCAGTAGCAGTAGCAGTAGCTGTGGTGGTAGCAGCACAATAGCAGTAGCAGTTTTAGCAGTTGTAGCAGTTATAGCAGTTGTAGCAATTGTAGCAGTTGTAGCCGTTGTAGCAGTTGTAGCACTTGTAGCACTTGTAGCAGTAGCAGTGGCAGTAGCAGTGGCAGTAGCAGTAGCAGTAGCAGTAGCTGTGGTGGTAGCAGCACACAATAGCAGTAGCAGTTTTAGCAGTTTTAGCAGTTGAACAGTTGTAGCAGTTGTATGTTAGCAATTGTAGCAGTTGTAGCAGTTGTAGCTTGTAGCAGTGGCACTTGGCAGTAGCAGTGGCAGTGGCAGTAGCAGTAGCAGTAGCTGTGGTAGTAGCAGCGCAGTAGCAGTGGCAGTTTTAGCAGTTTTAGCAGTTGTAGCAGTTGTAGCAGTTGTAGCAATTGTAGCACTTGTAGCAGTAGCAGTGGCAGTAGCAGTTGTAGCAGTTGTAGCAGTTGTAGCAGTTGTAGCAGTTGTAGCAGTTGTAGCAGTTGTAGCAGTTGTAGCTGTAGCAGTGGCAGTAGCAGTAGCAGTAGCAGTAGCAGTAGCTGTGGTAGTAGCAGCACAATAGCAGTAGCAGTTTTAGCAGTTTTAGCAGTTGTAGCAGTTGTAGCAGTTGTAGCAACTGTAGCAGTTGTAGCAGTTGTAGCAGTTGTAGCAGTTGTAGGAGTTGTAGCAGTCGTAGCAGTTGTAGCACTTGTAGCAGTAGCAGTGGCAGTAGCAGTAGCAGTGGCAGTAGCAGTAGCAGTAGCAGTAGCTGTGGTGGTAGCAGCACAATAGCAGTAGCAGTTTTAGCAATTGTAGCAATTGTAGCAGTTGTAGCAGTTGTAGCAGTTGTAGCAGTTGTAGCAGTTGTAGCAGTTGTAGCACTTGTAGCAATAGCAGTGGCAGTAGCAGTGGCAGTAGCAGTAGCAGTAGCAGTAGCTGTGGTGGTAGCAGCACACTAGCAGTAGCAGTTTTAGCAGTTTTAGCAGTTGTAGCAGTTGTAGCAGTTGTAGCAGTTGTAGCAGTTGTAGCACTTGTAGCAGTAGCAGTGGCAGTAGCAGTGGCAGTAGCAGTGGCAGTAGCAGTAGCAGTAGCTGTGGTGGTAGCAGCACAATAGCAGTAGCAGTTGTAGCAGTTGTAGCAGTTGTAGCAGTTGTAGCAATTGTAGCAGTTGTAGCAGTTGTAGCAGTTGTAGCCGTTGTAGCCGTTGTAGCAGTTGTAGCAC